TTGTAGTGGCAGAATTCATCTTCTGTGTAAAACTGTGAATACCTGTAAAATAAGTTTTAAGTAGTAGAAAAATATAAACAACTTCTTGCCAGCCCTAAGATGCATTTACAGTGAACAGAAGGCCTTAACAACGTCTTCGGGTTCTGGTTACTGACAAAACATAGCAATACTGGGAATTATTAAGTATAATTACTTTCCTCATAAACCAGATGCCATTTGTGTAAGTGTGCAGCAACAGGAAAGGGGAGACAACCACCAATTTACCTTTTGAAGCAGTAAGAACAAAAATCTTTGTACATACTCTTCAGAGAGATAAACATTTATCAAAACCTACCTGAAATCAATGTCTAGCAGAAGGCTTCTAACCCTGAAATCTTCTCCTCGTGATGCTTTTGACTGGATCATTTCATGAAGCCTGAAGGACAATTGGAGCAAAGAAATTTAACACACAATCACTGGCTTCAGAAATTACCTTGCAAGACAAGAATGCCTGGTACTTTACTAAATCAAAAACTAAACAGATAGAGAAAATGGAGTAATCTGAATTTGGATGATTCCATTTGGCTCATATTCAAAGTTAGGAAAATACATTAGTCTTAAAAGATGAAAAGTCAGTGGAGCCTACTGGATCACCATGAACAAAAATAAAAAACCTACATATAAGCACAGAAACTCATTGTCACTTCCTTAAGAAACAAAGCAAGACATTTAAAGTAAGTGTGCGTGGTACATGTGTATGTGTGCACACGCGTGTGTGTTGTTTGCAGTGCAGCTACAGTCTTCTGTATCTTATGAGCTCAAAGGAAGACCCCACTAAATGCCTGGATAATCAATCCCAACCAGTTAAAGCCTACTGAACCTCTTACTGTGGGAGAATCCTTGGTTATTTATCAGTAAGCTGCGCAGTTTTGAGACAAAAATATTATTTGAAAGTGTAACAATTCTCACTGACGTACCTGGGTGTTCCAACAGAGAGCACTCGCCTGAATCCTAAATCAATAATAAGATCCAGCAGGAACTGGCAACTTCTGTCTGCAAATAAATACTGTGCATTTGTTTTTTTATTCTCCAGTGGATACAGAAGTTGACTGGGACTTTTTAACTGGGCAGTGGAAATATCACACAGGAACTGGTGATCTGAGTGTTCTTCCCATTCAGCTGGCAAAAGCAGTTGCTGGCATTCCT